CGCACACGTGAAAACATATCGTCATTATTTTACATAAGAATATGAAAGCAACACTTATTTACTGTTCATATATATTTTAATTAATGTTTCTGAATTTGTTTTTATTGAATTAATGTTTGTGTGTGCAAAATTAACAATACAATTTATTAATAATACGTGGAATATTAAAACACACGAGGAGACGAGACGGCTGCCGGCATTGTTTATGTTAAAGCTTACAAAACCTGTGACTGATTGGTTCTACATATAAAACTGAAAAAAATAAAACCCTGATTGTAGCTGTAGTAAAATTAATGTAAAAAAATTAATATGGTTGTTTGAAGTACCTGTAATGTTATTTAATGTTAATAAATGGAACAATATAAGTAGCTAACCATTCATGGTAAAAAAAAAGTGAGACTGCGCGTATGTAAGTGCGCACATGTGAAAACATTACTCTACATAAGAATATGAAAGCAACACTTATTTACTGCTCATAAATATTGAAGGGTTAAATGTTGTACAGTGGTCCCTCGGTTAACGAGCACAATCCGTTCCAGCAGGTTGCTCGTTAACCGAAAAACTCGTTAACCGAAACCATTGTTTCAATGGGTTTTTGGGTAATTGGTTCCAGCTCACCGAAAATTGCCTAAATTCAACAAAAAAGGTAGAAAAGTACACTTACTTTGAAGTGTGTATGTAGAAGGCTCCTGGATGATGATGATGATGATGATGGGAATTAGAATGGGGGTGGAGGAGAAGGGAGAAGGGAGAAGAGAAGGCATTGGGGTGGAAGAGAAGTCACCCCATGGCACCATTTCACCCATAAAGTTTTAGTTCTCTTGGTGTAATTCAAGATTATTTTCTTTAAATCACACTGCACTGCATTATATATTGTCAATATGTAAAATACATTTCAAAATGACCAATAATTTGCTTGGAAACACAGAAAAAAAGAGTTTAGTTGAAGAGAGTCTCAAGCAAAATGTTACCTCCACTGAAAACAGAGAGAGACTAACGCCTGTCTGGTGTGTTAACAGGCTGGATGGCACGCCAGAAACTAGTTTCTTTACCTTCAATTACGTTCAATAATTTTTAAAATGACTAAAAAAGTTAATATTAAACTTTTAAAAATATTGAATAGTATAAACTTCTTGATATTTACTAAAATAGTAAGGAATTTAAGCCCTAAAACCGATTACTGTATTGGCGGACTAATACTACAGCTGGTGGACCGCCAAATGCAAGCGAAAACATGTTGAAGTCGGCTAGTAAAAAACTCGTTAATCGAGGGATTGCTCGTTAACCGAAGTTAAGAATCTTATGGAAGGTAAATCGTTAACCTAAATCTGCTAACCGAGGGATCACTGTACTCTGTATAGACAAGCAGAGAGAGAGAGAGAGAGAGAGAGAGAGAGAGAGAGAGAGAGAGAGAGAGAGAGAGAGAGAGAGAGAGAGAGAGAGAGAGAGAGAGAGAGAGAGAGAGAGAGAGAGAGAGAGAGAGAGAGAGAGAGAGAGAGAGAGAGAGAGAGAGAGAGGAGAGAGAGAGAGAGAGAGAGAGAGAGAGGAGAGAGAGAGAGAGAGAGAGAGAGAGAGAGAGAGAGAGAGAAGAAGAGAGAGAGAGAGAGGAGAGAGAGAGAGAGAGAGAGAGGAGAGAGAGAGAGAGAGAGAGAGAGAGAGAGAGAGGAGAGAGAGAGAGAGAGAGAGAGGAGAGAGAGAGAGAGGAGAGAGAGAGGAGAGAGAGAGGGAGAGAGAGAGAGAGAGAGAGAGAGAGAGAGAGAGAGAGAGAGAGAGAGAGGAAGAGAGAGAAGAGAGAGAGAGAGGGGAGAGAGAGAGAGAGAGAGAGAGAGAGAGAGAGAGAGAGAGAGAGAGAGAGAGAGAGAGAGAGAGAGAGAGAGAGAGAGAGAGAGAGAGAGAGAGAGAGAGAGAGAGAGAGAGAGAGAGAGAGAGAGAGAGAGAGAGAGAGAGAGAGGAGAGAGAGAGAGAGAGAGAGAGAGAGAGAGAGAGAGAGAGAGAGAGAGAGAGAGAGAGAGAGAGAGAGAGAGAGAGGAGAGAGAGAGAGAGAGAGAGAGAGAGAGAGAGAGAGAGAGAGAGAGAGAGAGAGAGAGAGAGAGAGAGAGAGAGAGAGAGAGAGAGAGGAGAGAGAGAGAGAGAGAGAGAGAGAGAGAGAGAGAGAGAGAGAGAGAGAGAGAGAGAGAGAGAGAGAGAGAGAGAGAGAGAGAGAGAGAGAGAGAGAGAGAGAGGAGAGAGAGAGAGAGAGAGAGAGAGAGAGAGAGAGAGAGAGAGAGAGAGAGAGAGAGAGAGAGAGAGAGAGAGAGAGAGAGAGAGAGGAGAGAGAGAGAGAGAGAGAGAGAGAGAGAGAGAGGAGAGAGAGAGAGAGAGAGAGAGAGAGAGAGAGAGAGAGAGAGAGAAGAGAGAGAGAGAGAGAGAGAGAGAGAGAGAGAGAGAGAGAGAGAGAGAGAGAGAGAGAGAGAGAGGAGAGAGAGAGAGAGAGAGAGAGAGAGAGAGAGAGAGAGAGAGAGAGAGAGAGAGAGAGAGAGAGAGAGAGAGAGAGAGAGAGAGAGAGAGAGAGAGAGAGAGAGAGAGAGAGAGAGAGAGAGAGAGAGAGAGAGAGAGAGAGAGAGAGAGAGAGAGAGAGAGAGAGAGAGAGAGAGAGAGAGAGAGAGAGAGAGAGAGAGAGAGAGAGAGAGAGAGAGAGAGCAGCCGAACTGCCGGATGTAAACAAACCTTACTCCGCTGCTTTGTTGTTGTTGTTTACGGGGATTAGCCCACCCGGCATAGGTCACTGACCCACATTAAGCCCTGAGGGCAAAATTTATGACACACACACACACAAATACATACACACACACATAATTCAGATAGTACCGTGATATACTCATGTATAGTTCGAAAGCTTTTAAGACCAAATTTTAGGCAAAAAATTGGGGTCGCCCCATACATGCGTAATAGTTTTGTTAGGTTGAACCCTGCATGATGGGAAGGGCGAGGAGCAACTTTAGCTTCAGACATGAAAAATATTTACCATTTACTGCCAGTAAACAATGGAAACGTAAAATATGTACCAATTAGTAATGAAAAGTTGTGCAGTTCCTTTCAGTAAATGCTCACAACTTACATGGCTAAATTACCTTACAACGCTGCTTTCAGTAGTCTATGTTGAAGTTCTTAGCACAGGCTAACTTATCATATCATATACGGTATCACAGTTCTCATTGATCTACAAAAATACCAGTATTAAAAACCTTTCGATATTTCACACTTAATATAATACCCGTAATCTATCAACTTCCTATTGTTTGGCGAATTTCAATAGCCAGACGGTACACATGTTTTTCAATCGCTTTCAGTTAAAAAACTGTTACATCACCCGTATATTTTACCCCAACTGTGCCTATTCAAACATATCCTAAATAAATAGTAGTTTGCTGAAACAAGATGTAACGTATTTTACAATGTAAAAATAGATAAAACATACATAAAAAAAAGATTTCCTACCAAACCTCCATGTTCTAAGAGAAGTTACTGCTTAGTAGTTTTTGGTTAAAATATTGTTATAATACAATGGTACTTATTCATACTGTGCTTGATATAATGCATTCAACGAAATGTAATATTTTTGCTGAAAATAACTTCATGATACAGTAAAAGGATAAACTGATTTAAAACAATGACTTTCGCTTTCGCTCAAAAGATGTTACCGTATTGCTTTTCAATGCTTTTCAGTTAAAAAAACGTTAGCAATATTCTATCCTAATTGACTTGAATAAATACTACGATACCACATATTTCTGAATATTTTCATTAAAATCCATCAAAACAATTTTCTAGTCATCGTGCCCAATCCAAACCTTCTCCCAGTCCTCTCCTTGAACAGGGCCAGAGGGCACGTGGTTTTTAATCGCTTAGTTAAAAAACTATTACATCACACGATATTTACCTAAACCGCGCCTAAATGAATATATTCTCGGAAATAAATAGTAGCTTTGTCGAAACGTGATGTATTTCAAATAGAGAAAAAATACATGACTAAAACAAAAGACTTTACCTAAACTTGTTCTTGAGATGTTACCGTTTTTAATAGTTTTTAAAAATCGTTATATTTAAACGATATTCATTCATACTGTGCTTGATATAATGAAATGATTTATTGCAAGCGTAAGACAAAACCAGATTTAAAATGAATGACTTTCTTTCACTCAAAGATGTAACCGAAACGGTTGTTTAGTTAAAAACTGTTGTATTACAATAATATATCCTCCCACTAATTTTTAACAAAAAACTGAATGGAAATATACATATATTTTGCTGATACCCACGTCAGTGTAAAGTGTCCTACTAAAAATGGTAAACAATTTTCTTCGCACTGTGGAAATATGTATCTAAGTAGCCTCAGTTTATAGAGACGAGAGCGTAGTGAAGGTTTTGTTGTTCCATTACCCCCAAAACGTGGCCAAATCTATATAAACGAGGCATATTGTAAATTAACCATTTCTTGGTCAAAAAATCAGGGCCGAATTTATATAAAATGGGTAAAGCATCATACGGTATATAAAAAAAGCTGCCTACCGCCCATGACAAACTAAATCGCTCCGACCACGTGACGGGAGCTTCCGACCACAGAATGCTTGACCAGAGAAAACCCTGCATATAATGAGAGCAAGGATAATGGTAGAGATGTTAATGTGTAAAATTGAAGGAAGGAGGGTCAAGGGAGGGCAGAGACTGTTATATAATACTGTAGCTACATTTAAAGATAAACCTTCAAACTCTTACAACAATCCTCTAAGTTTTCCTTATAAAGAACCTTCAGAACTCTTCCTACCTCAGAAACAACAGTGTACAATCACTCTAAAAAGTATTATTTATGGATGAGTTTGATGAATTTATGAATTTAAAAATGAATGCCCCGACACCTGTTGTCTCAGAAGGGTTGTCAAAATCATTCGTCCATTTTGTCATTGTCTAACACAAAATTGTAAAGAAACTTATTGGAGCAAGTGTACAAACAGGGAACTTACCTTAAACTTTCTTCCATTTCCTTTAACTTTTCTCTGGCCAGCTGCTGCTGTCTCTGTTCCTGCTCATTACTCTCCTCTGCCTGAGCCACTAACTTGGCTAACCTAATAAAGCAGGGTGAACTAATAATATACTAAGAAGTGAAATTATCTCATAATGTTAATGAAACTGTGACCACTACAACATGTGCAACAAATAAACATGACATACTGTATTTATCTCAGTGACAGAAAAAAATGCTCAATTCCTCTTTGGATATACAGCATGCCCATCAAATTCGCGGGGGTTAGGTTCTCAAAATGGCCGCGAATCACCAAATCTGAGAATAACATTTGCTGACCAGCAAGTCTACTTTGTGCTTTATAAATAACAAAGCACAGAGTAAACTTGAGGGTAGACTCACATTTTTAATAAAATTGTTTATGATTATTTGTGAGAGGATTTTCCCAATATTATTTATTTATATGTGTTTTGTGTGTGTGTCTACACACATGATGTGAGCAGTGTTGACCACAGTAACATTATTGTCATTCACTCTGTTTTTGTGGCAAGTACTTTGTTTTTGTAACTGATGTAAACAATGTAACTTGAAAATGTCTGGGCTGAAGGCCAAGACACCCAGGAATACTAGGTATCTGGAGGTGAAGTTTGACACTGTGAAGTGGCAGGAGACTCCCCAGAGGCTGTGTGGGAGTCAGAGTAACACCTCCACTCTACCGTTAAGAATCACCTAAGCCTTCAAGGGGACAGGTAATGAAAACCAGGCTTGTTCATAATGATGTGGTGAGTGTTGGTTAATTGTGTTGTAGGTAAAGTATTAGTGAAGGAATATTTTATTTATTTTTGGTGATGTACAGTAAGTAGCAAAAAAAAGTATCTGTGCAAACTCTGTGTGAAACAATATGAGACCACGGACAATAGGTACTGGGACATGCATGTTGTCTCCTTATACTATGTGATAGTAATCACCTAACCGTTTATTTTATTCCTATGTGCCAGCTCACCCCGTGTTGGATACTGAAGACATGCATACCAACCGTCTCGAGACAACACGACTTGTACGTATAATTTCGGATGTCATCGGACCGTCAGATACTTTTTGGGGGCTACTGTACATGTGGGTATCGGACTGACTGAGAATGTATTCTATTGAACCCCTTGTTATGATCCCAACTAACAAGATTTTGACCTGTGATGGGTTTTACATGAACGTAACCACATTAGAAACAGGGAGATACCTGTACCTGTTTTATCTTTACTGACAATGGCTTTTAAGTTTATCTGTTATCGCCGCTGGCTTCAACTACAGTGCAGGCGTTGCCTATCCCGAACAAACATTCAATCTATCAGCCTGGGACCACGTGAGCCGCCCCCCACCCACGCGACCTGCACAAACAAGATGCCCTGATTCTGCTGAGTGTATGGTTTAAAGTGTGGCGTGGCCGCCTGGCCTCCATGAGGCAGATCGCCTTCTCAAGTGATGCTGTGAGGACCATGCAGCCACCAGCCCTCTGTGGTAAACACCAACTCCCAATCCTGGCCGAGTTTTGTGCTGGAACAATTTACACAGTACTATTGTCCCTTGGAACACCATATTGGTTCGCATTGACCCGCACTTGTAAGTACAGCCAAAGTGATGACATACCCCTCAGTACTGAAATATTGTGGACTAATTATGCCTACTCATTTCTGCCTTATCTGGAGAAATATGACAATGCGGAATGAAATGTAACTAAGATTAATAGAGTTATGAACTTTGTATCATGTCACTATGCTTTATAATCAATTGTAATTAAGATGAAATCGTCTGAGACTAACTAATTATGCATCAGATAGATCACCATGTAATACTAATGAACGCCTTGTTCACTGCAGGTTTTGACCACATCAATAAATATTGAATGCATCAAAAGGCGAGTTTCAATCATTCCCTTCGACTTGCCCGTCCTTAACCAAGGCGTTTACATTATCCATACAGTTGTTGAAAAAGTATTCTGACATCCTTTGACCAAAAGGATGTGTCCTGGAATGATACATATTCCTCCAAAGTTTCCTTAAATATCTACATCAATACAATACTTTACTTACTAAAATCAAACATAAAATTGGATAAATCAGGAGGAGCCCAAATGGTTTCATCAGATGATATAAGATCATGACTACCGGGTAACTTAAATGTCTACTACGCACACAGTAGAAGCATGAGAAATAAAATGGATGAAATCAGGGCATTGGTATGCTCAGAAAAAATCGATATACAGTTGAGTCTGGACTTACGCGGTTTTTGTTTACGAGTTTGGTCATTTACGCGGCACCTTGCCAGAATGAAATGTTTTAATTACACGGTAAATTTCATCATTTATGGGGGTGAAGTAGAATTTGTTTATTTACTGAAGATATATATGTTTTTAGCTCATAAAATATATAATTTACATTGCTGGAATCCTTACAAGATGGTGATCATTTTAAATATAAACATCTTAACATTTGCATTAGACATACAAATTTTAGATGTACAGTCGGCCCTTAACATACGCGGGTTTAGCATACACAGATTTGCAAATACGCAGATTGCCCCGCCAGAGGAATATTCTGTACATCGAAGTAATTGAAGTTCTGTACATTCAAATCGCGCGCCATTCAACTCGCGAGCGGCTCCGAACACGGGACACCGCCCGCTCCCACAACCTCACACACACACGCATAGCTCTCCCTCACTCAGTCAGTCTCGCTGTAACCACGCTTGTGTTGACATCAGAATTGTAGTTGCAAAAATATTACATTTCCGTGAATGTATTACATCAAGCACAGTATGAATAGAATATCACTAATATAACAGTATTTTAACCGAAAACTATTAAAAAAACGAGTAACATATCTTGAACATCAGAAGGTGAGGTAAAGTCTTTTCATTTCATGTAGTTAATCCTAATTTACATTGAAATACATTACGTTTCGGCAAAACTACTATTTATTTCTGAGAATATGGAACTGTAATATTTTGCTGAAATGACGTACGTATTACAGTGGAAAGTGACGAAAGCAATGATTTTCGCTTTCTTTCGTTCGAAAGATGTTACCGTAATCGCTTTTTGAATGGTTTTCAGTTAAAAAAACTGTTGTATTACAATAATATTCCATCCTAATTCACTTGTGGTGCAATAGTTTTTTTTAACTGAAAACCATTCAAAAAGCGATTACGGTAACATCTTTCGAACGAAAGAGAGCGAAAATCATTGTTTTCGTCACGATTTTATCGCACTTTCCACTGTAATACGTATGTCATTTCAGCAAAAATATTACATTTCCGTGAATGTAGTATATCAAGCACAGTATGAATATAATATCATTGTAATATAACAGTATTTTAACCGAAAACTATTAAAAAAACGAGTAACATCTCTTGAACATCGGAAGGTTAGGTAAAGTCTTTTGTTTTCGTCATGTATTTTATCCTATTTTACATTGAAATACATCACGTTTCAGCAAAACTTCCATTTATTTCTGAGAATATATTCATTCAGGCGCAGTTTAGGTAAAATATACATGTGATGTAACATTTTTTTAACTGAAAACGATTCGAAAAACACGTACCCTCGAGCCCTGTTCAGGGAGAAAACTGGGAGGAGCTGTTTGGTGCTTAAGACGATGACAAGGAAAATGATTTTGATGGATTTTAATGAAAATATTCAGAAATATGGTATCGTAGTATTTATTCAAGTGAGTTAGGATAGAATATTATTGTAATACAACAGTAGTGACGATGTGGAGGAGGCAGAGGGATAGAGTGGAGAGGAGTGGTGACTGGTGGGAGCAGGGACGAGTGGAGATGCCAGCCAGTACATTACGGGTGTACAGTATGAATTGTTTTTATAGCTCTTTTTGAATATAAATATTAAATACTGTACATTACGTTTCAACAAAACTACTATTTATTTCTGAGAATATGGAAATGTAATATTTTTGCTGAATGACGTACGGCTTACAGTGGAATGTGGGATAAAACTGTGACGAATGCAATGACTTTCGCTTTCTTTCGTTCAAAAGATGTTACCGTAATCACTTTTCGAATGATTTTCAGTTGTGGGATTATGAGGCTAATGATAGGATAGAATATTATTGTAATACAGTACGGGACAACAGTTTTTTAACTGAAAACCATTCGAAAAGCGATTACGGTAAAATCTTTTGAACAACGAAAGAAAGCGAAAATCATTGTTTTCATCATGATTTTATCCCACTTTCCACTGTAATATGTACGTCATTTCAGCCAAAATATTACATTTCCATATTTATTTCTGAGAATATATTAATTCAGTCACAGTTAAGGTAAAATATACTTGTGATGTAATATTTTAATGAAAATACGGTATCATAGTTTTCTTTTGTTTCAAATTTAATTAACAAAGATTGATGTTTCAAATGGAATGAACAAAAATTTATGTACAGTATCTATAAATAAACTTTAAAAAATGAATAGTTTGTTTTACATCGTCCTGTGCATACCATACCATGCATTTGGCTACTTTGGGCTTGCTATGATGACGCAAGAGATCTGCCCTGGCATCTGTACCGACACTCACAGCTGGTGGTGCGTTGGTGCGTCGTTTCCATTGTTTACTGGTAGTAACTGGTAAATATTTTTCAACCTAACGAAACTATTACCCGTTTAGAGGTCGACCCCCAATTTTTTGCCAAATAATTTGGTCTTAAAAACTAGAACTACACACAGGTATATACGGTAAATAAGGACATGGGGGGCCAGGGGTTTTTTAGGGGGGGTGGGGAAGCAAAAGTACACAGATTTTTAACACTCACGGGTATCTTTGTTACCTAACCCCTGCGTATGTTAAGGGCCAACTGTAATGTTGAAAATTAACGAACATTTTATCTTTTGTACAAAATATATGATGTTTACATTCAAAATATTCCCTGTCCTGCAAGGAATCCAGCAATGTCAATTATATTATCCTAACTTTAGTCTGAGGTATTATTTATTACTAAAAATGTAAATACAGTATACTGTTTTAACCCAAACATTTCTCTGGTAGGGAGGGAGGGAGGGACCCAGGGAGCGTGGGAAGAGGGGGGGAGGGGAAGTGGG